CACTTGGTATGATAATTAATAATTAAAATTGAGCTGTTCAATGTGCAGTTTGTAGAACTTGTGCATTAACATATTGTATAGAGTATATTTGTAGGACGCGTCAGTAAATCGTGTTAATTGATTCACTGTCTTCGCTGTTGCGTTAATCAGCAAATCCTTCCGGGTTATTATCACGACGAAGGGGAAGTATTATAGTACTAGATTTTCCCTCGCGGCTCCGCCCGTATGTACTACATTTTATATCGTGGCTAAAAAATAACCTACAGAAAAAACAGAGCCGCGATAACTCAGTGTCCGGGCGCTCGCCTTTAATTCAATATACTTGAGCAACCTGAATTCGATCCCCGGTACTGGCACCAATGAAATTGTTAATTTCAAGTACTGAATTATCACGTGCTCAGCGTTAAAGTAAAACATCGTGAGGAAACCTGCAATTTTTTAAAATAATAATAAAAAAAATATATTTCGAAGATATGTGAAGTCCGCCAATCCGCAGTGAGGCCGCGTGGTGGACTACCCTGATACCCTCTGTACAGAAGAGGCCTTCGCCCAGCAGTGGGAAATGTAGAAGCTGATACTTTACTTTACTTTTTGTTTAACGATTATCATAAAATACTTTTGTATGAGAAAATGTACAACTATGTTATGTAAACTTTAGTAAGTTATCCTCGTGTCGTAAGTGGATGCAATTTAGTTCTAAAGTAAAGCTGAAATTAATTCAGAGTAGAAAATCAATAAGGAGTCAAAATCTATTTATCATACCGAAATGCGAAAGGTGGAATAATCAAGTTCGTTGGGACATTAGCTATTCATGCACGGTCAGACACAATGACAATTAACGTCTAGAGGACATCGAAAAAGGAATAATTACTTGAAGAGAATCCGTTTCCGACAAAATATCAGGGACATTTTGTCTCTTGGGTGGATTCTGGCCATTTAAATCGCCTTAACTTGTATGATAAAAGATATGTGGCATTTCCGAGCACGCTTATGCAACTGATGTTACGGTTTCAGTCCTTAGACTATTAAAGCTACATCGAACTGTTATAAGGGATATTAGACTGTTATAGGAAAGTCTTTTTAAAAAAAAGGAATTTTATTATTAACACTGGCTTATTACAAAATAGAATTAGAAAATGTATTAACGGGATGGAGACCGACATGTCTTACGAATGTCCTCGCACTAGCTTCCATCTGAAGCGTTTAGCGACCATGAAAATGCTGACACAGCTCCTTTGTAGAGCGTTGGAATGCATCAGCCATAGAGTATACAATATTAATATATCCGAACCGTCTGCTCGTTTGGCAACTTTTCACCTTAAAAAAAATTGATTGCGTATTAAGTTTAAAGTCTGTATATAATACAGGGCGTAGAAATTTTACTGCATGGATGGAGCATTTGTTTAAGTCATTCTCATTTGCAGAGGTCCAACTTAGGCATTTTCAATTGACCTCCTTTTTATTTTTTTAATTCTTTTAAAAAAATAAACATTAACCTTTAGGATAACACTAGGTGCTGCCCGCCTCTACATCTGCGTAGAATAGGCTGAAGGAGTAACATTCAGACAGAAAGACAGATATACATAAAAATATGTATATATATATATAAGCTATTTTGTTTCATAAAAATCCATCCAGTACTATTTGCGTGAAAGAGTAACAAACATCCATCCATTTGTTTTTCTTTTGTAAAAACCTTGCCCTTACTTTATGATAACATTATCCTGTGTTCTATGGACGTTTTACAAACATAAATTTCACGTGGAGAAACACCCAGATGCGAAAAAACTATCTGTGGTTCACACAAATACTTTATCCGTGTGGAGATCGAACCTACGACGCTCGACGCCTAAACCAATACCTTGGCAACTGCACCACAGACTCTCAACTCATCAATTTGAAGTCAAATCCCTTGAGAAACGAAGGTCAAGTACCTAAAGGTCACTTGCGACTCCAGAATGACATTCGCCACATACTAAAAACATAAGAGATAGAGCCGCGTTCGTTTTGTCTTACTTAACAAATCCCTCGAGTAAAATGGCCTTAAGGCACTAACTTTTGTATGTCCCTTGCGCACGTAAACCCACAAGCCTGCATAATCTTCAGGTAATTCAAAATAAGTTCATCCGCCTCGCGTACCAAAGTGGTATCGACGTAATTTAAACCTGCGTAGTGGTTATGGATTCCGACACTACGAAAATGTTCAAGAGTTAGCCAAAGTTCCACCGAATGAGTCTAAAACCATGCCAGACCCGAGGAAGGGCGGTAGGCACGCCGGACCCACCGGGGGTCACACAGGACAAACTGTACCCACAAACAGTAACACATAACCAATTAGTTCTTCCTCGCCTACGAGATCGGCGAAACGAACACATGTACACAAGGTACACCTGCGATCCAGGGCGGTCCTCACTGGCACCAGCCTCCGTTCAATTCAGTCAAAGACCGTCGGAGGTCACTCTCCGTACCGAACCTCGATAGCTCGTAGGTCGCATCCCGTTTAAAAGAACGCACGTGAAACGCGGTAGGCCGTTTAAAGCTCATAGGTTGTGCTTAGCCCACGAGTTCTGCGTTCGATCATTTTTTTTTTATTTATTTATTTGGCGCGGTTACAAAATACAAATTATAACATGACTAAATTATTACGAACATACCAAATTACTAAACTTGAATTTCAATAACAACCGAGCACAAAATTCAATTTGAATATGTCTATATATATATAATCGGAATCTCGGAAGCCCCAAAACAGACGGCCGTGGTTCGCGTCACGATCATTTACACATTTATTTTTTTACTTTTTTTTCGATTCCAGATTATTGCTTTCTTTATTTTTAAACAAACTAATTAAATAAAATTTTTATTTGGGATTTTTTTAACGTTTTATATCTAAGTTTTTTATGATTATTGGCACGAAGCGTTAGACGTGTGTCATTTATTGTCGCGGTTGTAACGACACGCTGTATAAATACCCCAGACACTATAACACACTTATCACACGATACAAGAGATAGGTTCACTATCCACTACCCCACTCGATCGTAGTTCTTGATTGACGCCACTTTTTTAGTTTTCACCAGAATTATTACGTCCCATATTCTCATAAAATTACATGCATATAAGTGAAAAGACAAGTAAATAAGAGAACTCATTCCAATTATTACCAAAAAATGTTTCGCGAATAAATAATGTTTTAGTAACAACAACTTATGCGAAAGTAAATCTACCAGATAACAGATAAATAAACCAAGGCACGGTGCTCTTTATCCTCGGGAAAAGGTAAGCAGTTTTACGACATACTTAGAAAAAAACGACATGACAGGATCAAGAAGACTAGATAAAATTAGCAATGTGAAATTAAGAGCAAAAACCAAATGAAGCGATATCCTGGAAAAAATAGACCTCCAAAATTGGAGATAGACCGGCCATATATTGAGATCTACATAAGAAAAGTGGAGCCAAATTACAAGAATTTAGTATCCAACACAAGGCACACTGAGTTGAGAGACATCCTGTAGTCCAACGAACTAAACAATACAGCCATAAGTATTTAATCTCTCACCCAGTTCAACGAGTTAAATAAAGAAAAAACACGTTGTTTAGGTCCGATATGTATAAGTTTTTGATAGTAGGTACAGTTTATCCTCGATAAGTTTATAGAGTGAACACGAAGAACTGAATCTTGTCAAAGGTAATTTATAATCAGATTTACTAAAATAAAAAATAAACATTTCGTAGTTTCCGTAAGTTCTAGAAAATTAATTGAACTTACGTCGAACGATGTTGAGTGGCAACCGCTTTGTAATTACTTCGATAAACGCGTAAAAGCAACGGAATTTTTATAGTTTGACTGGTTAACAACCCCGGTTATCTTGAGGTCATACAGGTCACTAAGGTCATAATAAAATAAAAAACTAACTAACACAAAGAAATAAAGGTATTACTTACCTTTAAAGCACTAAAATCAATAATATAAATCGGGCACGCAAGCAGTTCAAAGAGAGACACACTAAGGTCGTAACTTAACGTCTTATTTTTAATTAAGTTCGTGTGTTAAAGCCGTAGTCATGTCGCTATTTATAAAAATCATAAATCGCTATTTCACATTTGTATGTAATACCTGAATGTGTATAACCTTAGCTATGTTACGCGTCTGTCGAAGTTACCTCAAAATTTTATGAGGAATGTGAAAAAATTTCAAACTCTTATTATAACAATAATTCCTATGTCGATGTTTACACACACGTTTCACAATGTATACCATGTATACATTATTAATTGAGTATTACTACGCTTTAAATAAGTATCTACCCATTTTGTCAGAATAATTTACTGTAAAATAAAACGACAGTTGATTTTATGTAGGTACGTCAATTTCCGATAGTGGCACATTCACATCATTTTTGTCATAGATAAAAAAACGATCCAAGTTCCGTAGCACTGTATTAAAACGGCAAAAAATCATGTCTTCTGTATGGGAGCTCTACTCAAATATCTGTTCTTGTTCAACTACCTACCTACGAATCACGGTTCATGAGTTACAGTTCTGGTGACAGACGGACAGCGGAATCTTAGTAATAGGGTCCCGTTTTACCCTTTGGGTACGGAATCCTAAAAACAAAGTAAATGAACAAAAAAAATGTTGAGATTGTCATCGGTATGAAGATAATTCGACTTTATTATAAAAAAAAGTTAATCGGAGTTGATTGTTATGACTCATACTTGTTATCTTTATCGGTGGCATACATTTTACTATGTTACTCCGCTTGCGTGTGTGAATTGGTTCAACATTTTGGGGTTCTCGCCATTTACATTTATTTACATACATTACATTACCTTACATTATATATATATATATATATATATATATATATATATATATATATATATATATTTGTTTTTTTTTTTGAGTTACAGGTTTTGCTCTTACATTTATGTCTATTATAGGTATACACAACATTTATCAAAATAAACTTCAACACAAACTCACCTTTTTCCAGACAGGAGCTCCTGAAATGGTACGGCTGGGGCTACAAGGACTCCATGTTCAAACTGCAAGACGGCAAAGCAATGTTCATCGGCGACAGGTGAGAGTCGACTTATCATTTATTAATTGTTTGACCTTTATCCCTTCGTCAGGACATTATTGCTTTGTATTTGTGAGGCGTTTAAAAAGCGCAGGCCCTTAAAATGTACACTAGCACCTACACTACGAACAATTACTTGTAGAAAATACAAACTACTGTATCCCTACGTGCACCCACTGTGCCAAAAATTAGTGTAATAAACGTTTTTAAAATAAAATTAATCTCTTGCAAGATTAAGAACTACATCTAGGTTTCTGGGTGACCACATTCATCTTTAATTTTGATTATTGAAAAATAATATATTGTCAAAAATTATCAACTTTCTCTTTACCAACGTCTGTTAAGAAAATCTGAAAATTTTGTATGTATGGATGGATGTTTGTTACTCTTTCAAGCAAAAACTACTGAATAGATTTTAATGAAACTTTACAATATTTATTACAACAGTACAATGTATATCAGGCTTATACATCAGAATAACACAGGGACTATAATTTATAAAGATATTGTATGCATTGTCCAAAATATAGATAATGATAAGTGTCAACTAAGTAGGATAAAATTCAGCCATCTGCCAGATACTCTGGTGTAAAAAACTCACTGTTAATTCCCTTTGGCCGTGCGGGCGAAGCCGCGGCTAACAGCTTGTAAACCATAAAACTGTTTTTGTAAACTTTTTTTTTAAGCATTAAATTAAAACAAAACCGGTTGAAATGGACTTGTATAAAATTCGGAAATGAGGGTGACGAGGGCGTTGTTTTAAAACGATGTTGTAAACCATTTTAATTGATTTTTTTTAATGTACTATTCAACACAATTTGTATTGTTAAGAATAAAGGATATTATTCCTGTAATATTTTTCAAAGAAAAAAAAAACACGTGGGTCTGCCACGGTAATAGTATCTATTGTCCACTTATCAGAACCGCTATTATCTACATATTAGCAGTTTTAAATATGGCACACGGATTGTAAGCCATTTTCTGGCGGCCTACGTGTTATATCAAGTCAGGTGGTGCCGGGATCGTTAGCGTATATGACATAATCCCAATTGTCGGGTCAGTGACGTGCAACGCTGACACAAATCGCGTAACAGAATAACCGTCGCGTTGCTAGATCCATTTAGCGAATGCAATACCTAGCTTTGAGTTGGGCGCGGAAACACTAACGCCAACCTTATATTGTGTTTTACAGTTTAATATTGTTGAATGAACCGGATTTTCGAATTAAATCTAGTTCAATTAAGGTGCAAATTCTCTATGAATACTTTGATACATAATTGTTTACGGGACAGTCTTCTAATGAAATAATTAATTATTTAGTTATGAATTTAGTTAAAAGAACACTTTGTGCGCCTATTCGTTCGATGTTGAGCCACGCCGCGCCATTCTCAACACCGCAGTGCAGGATTTGAATGCAACTTGCTTGAATTTCCAATCTACGCGCGGCCGAAAATTTAGTTAGACTCCTCTATCACATGAAGTTCGGCGAAACAGAAACTCTTTCTCTGGCTTCGACATTCACATTGGCCTGTGCTCGATGACAAATTCCAATCTTGCCCACTAGTCGCTGACAGCTGACACGCGCCGGGCGGATGGCCGGAAGCGTCAATTTAGTGCGATTCGCTCACCAGCCAACGGTATGCCGCCCATCAGGTCCGATTTGCGAATTTATGTCATAAGACACAAATACCTCTCAAATCTTAAGTGCAGAGATTAGCACTATTAAAAATTTAAATTTCTAGAAAGCAATGGCATCGCTCGTTCGAATTATCGTTGTAAAACGAGATTCGAAATTCTTTGTATGCTGGAAAGGACATAACATGGATACGCCAAACGTTGCTTCAAATGCTATAAAAACAATGTAGATAAAATACGTTAAGAAAAATAGTTTCGTCCGTGTGGCAATCAGCCGTTTAACTTAGTGGCTAAAGCGTCAGGCCGCGAATGCCAAAGACGTGGGTTCGATTCCCACAGCGGCGACAATCTTTTCGTACTTTTTCTACAAATTTTAACACAAATACCTCATTCAACAGACGAAATCCAGACGTATACTTCCACTTCACGCCGGTACTCTGTGAGTTCGTGATACTTCCTCGGACGGATCTGCCCATTCGTACAGCAGGGAAAACTCGCGTGGCCCACTGTGAATGTAGTAAACCATTATTAATAGTCGCCTCAGAATTAAGAGAAATCGCTGCGACGATGGGGCGCTATCGATGATTTTTTTTTATGCGAAAAGTTGTCAAACAAGCAGACGGTTCACCCGATGTTAAGTGAATAACGCCGCCCATGGACTTCTGCCACACTCGAGGGTTACAGATGCGTTGACAACCTTTTGAAAATTGGGCTCCGGCCACCTCACTCACCAGACGAAACGCGAAAGTATTTGTCATACTTCCACTTTATGCTGGTCTTCTGTGTGGTCGTGGTACTTACCCGGACGGGCCTGCCCATTCATGCTACAGCCGAGGCTGTTGCGTGGCCCTACCACCGTAATTGATTAGAAATGACAAATTAGATGCAGTACATATGTCCATATATCATCTGATGTTTATATAAATGTCGAGTGGGTCGAGTCGAGATTGAATAACTGCTTGTCTAGTGACTCACTCAGTGCTTGACAAAATAATTTCAAGAAGAGACTAGCTTTTATTCTCGACTTCACCCGTATTGTTGTCTTGGATATAGGTATATGTGAATATAAATCAATTGCATTTGTTTTATGCCAAAACAAGTAAGGCAAAGATATTTACGAAGTATTAGAGATTGAGTATGGCGACTCTTAATAGTCATTTTTAATTTAATCGTCATTTTTATAACCACCGAAAGAATGGTCCACGGCTACCAACTGACTTGATGATATGCAAATATATAGATAGTTTTATAGTAATTGTTGCTACGAATAAACTTAGTATATTACTTAGAATTAAAATATAATTTTAATAATCAAACCAATGCAAAATACACGCACAATAAATGCACCTAATACATTATAAACTTTAAAAATGTATAAAATATGAGTTTGTGGTACAATCATGGTGGATTTTCCTTAGCCAAGGACAAGTGTAAAAGTAAAATAAACATATTCAATGTGTCTGTCTACTCAGAATACAAGCTATGTCGTAAAAATCTGCCCAGGCAGAAAACACCTACAAAAAAGGTTTCGGTATGAAGTCGGTGAAAACATACAGTCATACACACAAACAATCTCGGCTATAACGCCACTGTTGTTACATTGAAACCCTAAGCAGTTGCTGCCGGGCATAAGTGGACTGGTGCGCTCTCGGTCCAACGCTATGCCGGTACCAACTAGGCAATATATTTCACTTAGGTCTTTTCTACTTTGTTAAACTTCATGTATAACAAAATTTAAGTGTGAAGTTTTTAATCGTCAATCGCAGCACAAATCGGCTCGTGATAATTTCCTCGTATATCATATTAGTGTCCAAAAACTACCTACAAAATATAAATCTGCTAGCGTGTCGTTACATTAGCGTATCGGGATAAAAAATAATTTCCTAAAAAGTTTAACATACAATAAAAATTACTTTATTCGGTATAAGAATATTATCACAGACTTAAATTTAAGTAGAGGTAATATATTAAATAGAGGTTATGCCATCACATTAATTATAATAGATGTTTTAATTAATTTGGGGCAAAAAATTACGTAATTTACATACAAAGATAATGCAAAGCAACGCAATGGCCCAGCGCAACATAAATAGTAGAAGGGAAGTAGTAACAACAACAGCCTGTGGTAAATTCATTAAATTTGAGAAAAACCACCTTTTCGTCATCTGTTCCATATTACTTTCAAAATCGAATCCATTGTGATATCTGTAAAGTTAATCCACCTGTACTTTTATTCATACAGACACAACTTAAGTTACGGTTGACCCTTTTTAAAATATTGAAAAGAGGTTTAAAAATATTCCGCTATCGACAACTTTATTTTATTACACACAGCCTTAATATAGGGCTTTAATGAGCAATTTCAAGTGAAATTCCGATATCCAAACATTAGCAACGATGCATGTCCAAATGGACATTTAGAATCGGAACAGCAAAAGGGATAGGCACGTCATTCACTTTTTCTTCCACGAAATTTGTCACAAAACTCTATAGCAAACCGCTTTTGAAACATCCAGTATTAATGTATACGTAGGCTCTTAACCTTAGGCGTTAATGCATTGTACATATTGCACTGTTCGCTGTTAAACGATACATGTCGTACTCCGTCGGTCCATTCCTATTAGTAAACACTAGACGGATCCACGGACAAATCGCTAGTGCAAACAAGGCGACTAAACAAATGCAACGGAGCACCCAACGTATCGCAACGGCATTGAGAGGCAAACGCCTTTCGTACTGATATATGAATACGCCATTGTTAATATGATCCATTAGTAAGACACGTGACGTAGGGTGTAAGGCTAGAGGAAGACCGAGAAAGATTTGGATGGACTGTGTGAAGAGTGATGTCTGCGAACGGGATGAGTATTGAGATGATGGCTGACGGAGGAAAGTGGTAGCGAAGGACTTGTGACGACCCGAATTATTGTGGGCACAAGAGAGTTCACACGATTGTCTGTGGCTGGAGTGTGTTACCAGTTACTAGACTCCATAGAGTAAGTAACTCGTTCATGGGGCGGTGGGCAAAACCTGCCTATTACAAGAGAGTTTATAAAAAGGGTTATTATAATACAAATGAATACACACGACAATAACCCCTGGGAATGTTGATGTCCCAAGCTATTTCTAAAAGGAAAAAAATCAGGTATATGATTTTTGAATTTTTTGTTAAGAAAAAAAAATAATTACAAAAAAGAGGATACCTACGGAGTTTCTTTCGCCTGTTTCTTCTCCGTATAGGACCTCATTACGAAACGGTGGTAGATTTAAAAAAAAAAATATGACTATTGATAAATGAAATGTAAGTTTCTTATGTCGATGAATAAATGATTTTGATTTGATTTGATTTTTGTGTCAAGCTAGAGGAGCGAGATTCGGATGGACTGTGTGAAGAGTTATATGTCTGTGAACGGGTTCAGTATTCAAATGGCGGCTGATTGTGTGGGACAAAGGCTGGAAGAAGAAAGTCGGAAAGGACACGTTGTACCGACCCCACCTAGTGTGGTAAGGGAAGAAGAAGAATTAGACGCGTAATATCGTATCGAAACTCATATTATAAATGCGAAAGCGTGTTTGTTTGTCCTTCTTTGTCATCGCCACGGAGTGATGTTATTGTATGATTTTTTCTGTGAAGATAGGAGGCCGGAAAGTAACATAGCATACTTTTAAAAAAAAATATTCCCATTAAGATGTTTATTTTAATCACTCAATACTAAAACTAACAATGTTTTGGTCCCTTTTTAACTTAGTAAAGGATCTATGGATTGATATAAATTTATAGTTGAAATTATAATTATTAATATCTTTATATACATAATTCTTCTGGACGTGTGCATGTCACTGAACTCCTACTAAACGGCTGGACCGATTTTAATGAAATTTTTTGTGTCTTCAGGTCGATTCGAGAATGGTTTAGATTCACAATTCTTTTTTTTTTTTTTATAAATTGTTGTCAGATCTCAGAAGATCAGAGAAGTCTGTTGTACAGGACAACGTCTGTCAGGTCCACTATTAATATACAAATATTGATATAAATTTATTCGTATCATATTAATATTATAAATGAAGGATGTGCCTTGTATGATAAACGACTCGTTCTTAATACTCTTTGACCATGCGGATAATATCTAGTGTTTCCATACGTCTTATTTAACTCCAAGGGACACCGCAATAGCGCAAGCGTAATACCTGATAGCAAACTAAGCGTGTGCCTAAGTCGCCATTAGGTAACCGCAACAGTGTGAATACTTTTTTTTATGTGTAAAGTTGTCAAACGAGCAGACGGTTCACCTGATGTTAAGTGAATACCGCCGCCCATGGACATCTGCCACACCCGAGGGTTACAGATGCGTTGACAACCTTTTGAAAATTGGGCTCCGGCTACCTCACTCACCAGACGAAACGCGAAAGTATTTGTCATACTTCCACTTTACGCTGGTTTTCTGTGAGGTCTTGGTACGTACCCGGACGGGCCTGCCCATTCATGTAGCAGCCGAGGCTTTACCACCGTAATACTTCACGCCAGGTTTCTGTGATGCCGAGGTAATCACCCGTTCGAGCTGGTCTATTCGTACGGTAGACGCCGTCGTTTCTCCACAGTGAAATATTACAAAACTTGGATATCTATCTACCAGGCCTTCGTCGTACGTTGTAATTGCGGAGACTGTGCATATTTGAGCAGCAAGCTGGTAAAACAAAATACTTAAGAATGTAAACTCCAACTTTTGATACATATGTTTGTATACAACCTATGTAACGTTTGCGTAACTCCAGCTCGTAATTTAGACATTGCTTACATGTACAATTTAGTGATGGGACGTTAAAATAATAATATTTCATTGGTTCATTTTTAGCAGTGGTTTAGTCCGTGTGGCTATTTTACAGTTTTAAATCAATTTATACAGGATTTGTTTATCCGGCTGTAAACGTCAGGGGCGTGCGTATATCTTAGTTAGTACTCCGTACAAGCAAAATAGCTTTGCATACCATGTAATCCTAGCAAACATTCCCCAAAACACAAGCGTTAAAATTCTTAATGATAATTTAACTTTTTTAATGATCACACATCTCATCTACTTTGTTTTATTGCATTTCTAGCAATGCTTGGTATTTATCTAATGTGTTATCTTCACAGCAAGCCCACTTTTTCAACATCATAACAATCTTCACGAAAAGATCTTCCAACGCTCATGGAGAAAACATTATTGAAGTGCATCGTTCTTTTATATCCGCGGTTAACAGAAGCCATTTAATACAAAAAATCTCCACACATCACTATAACGCGATTGGCTTACGCTTTTTGGACGCGGATATTGGACGCGTCAGACAGTTTTCGAGTTTGACACAATGTGTAACTATTTGACTTGCCAATTAGCGACATTATTGCGGATAGAACGCCGTATGCGTACATTTTGTGTTAAACTCACTCGAGGTTGCACTCGGCCATATCGTTCGACCGTCAACAATTGTGTATGTCGGATTATGATGTCTCCGCCATGAGCTTTGTGTTTGAGCAATGATGCCCATGATGAGGTCCGTAATGTTTTGTTGACTTGTTATTTCTAGCGGTTACATGCCTATGTATCAATAATAAAGGTCCTACTTATGAAGTTAAACAAATCCTCAAATACAATTCCCTTAAATCTGAATTAAACCTTGAAATTATATGCACAGTTCCCCTGGTTAGTTTTCATTAGGGCAGACACACCTCATATTCGCGGTGTATTAGGAAATACAATCGAGTTTCGAAACTAACCCTAAACTTCCACAAGGTCTGTGCGCGGGGAAGTACTTAGTCTTCTCTGTAGGATAGTGTAGACATTAATCATTCATCACAAGCCAAAAGTCAATAAGTTCAAAAAAGGCCGATAGTCTAGTAGTGGTGGGTCAGTTGTTAACTTTTACTGTGATAGGGCAACGCAACAGCTTCGCTGTTGCACAAATGGGCAGGTCCGTCCGGGTAAACACCACGACCACACAGAAGAGCGCCGTGAAATAAAAGTTTTATACTTCTGCGTTTCGTCTGGTGAGTGAGGTAGTCGGGGCCCACTTTGTTAAAAGGTCATCAACGCATTGGCAACCCTACGGGTGTTGCCAGTTTCTATGGGCGGCAGCTGTCAATTAACATCAGGTGAACCGTCAGCATTTTTATGTGAAAAATAGGCAAGCGAGCAGGTTGTTCACCAGTGGATAAGTGATTACCTTACTGCCACATGGGCAACCATTAAAAAAGTGGGCAGATGAAACGCGAAAGAATAAAGTTTTCACTTCACACTGGTCTTCTGTGCAGTCGAGTCTCTCCAGATAAGCCTGCTCATTCGTGAAACAACAGAAGCTGCATATTGGGCCTACCACAAGGATGGACAGCTTTTCCCAATATCGTAATCATTTAATTAGAATCAATTTTGAATTAGGCATCGTTTGCTAATCGTTTTAGCGTTCTATTACTTCGATAATTTTAGTCTTATAGCGACCGTCTAACAAATTTATTTCCAAAACTAACACGGAAGTTGAAAAATGATTTAATAATTTTATTGTTTGGTTTTCCTGTTACAGAATAATATTGTATTCATTTACACCGCAACTTGTGTCAAATTGAAATCGAAGGTGTTTTTCGTTGATATAATAATTTGTACAATAATTTCTAATGAAATTCAACACATTATAGCATATGTTTATCGCTATTGACGAAAAAAGTAGAATAAACTTAAGCTTCGGTAATTTTTTTTAAAAGAACGTATGATAATGCCATCTATTGACAATTTGTTTAAACGAAAGATAAAGAAATAGACTGAAAACCATTTTTCTTCACAATACTTTTCACTAATTTATTCGGTGAATGTTAATAATACTATGAGAAATTTCGACTAGTAATAAAATAATATAAATTCATGGATAAATCACTTAACGCTCTCTTTCTCTCTCTAATGTTATTTTAAACTCTTTTTCAGATACTTAATCGGTGGAAAATGCCTCCCGCACTTCATGACTTGGGTGAACGAGAACTTCAATATAGACATAACGAAGCCACCCAAGATCCCGCCCTTACCGACTTCCTTCACGGAGAGCAGACTGCCGGGGAACATAAGGGTGGAGTTGGAGAAGATAGCGTTAGTCAGCGTGGACGGCCTGGACAGATTGATCAGGGCGCATGGGCAGACGCTCAAGGATATGTCGTTGCTTAGGAGCAACAGCTTCAAGCGGATACCCGACGCCGTCATATGGCCGGAGAGTCATGAACAGGTAACTGATGATTGATTGTCTTTGGATAGATTAGCTTGCAGATACAGTGAGGTGTGGAGTCCAGAGTCGATCAAACTCCCGCATTCGTTGAATTGCAAGATCTAAGATGCTCAAACTCCAGCTGTAACGTTCGCGTTTGAAGTTACATCATGCTTTTGTATGAGATTCGAACCCAAGTTTACAACATACAAACTACAAGCTCGCATTAACAGACGACGTGCCAATAACCCATTCTTCGTGCCGATGATATGTTATGGATATCAAAGTCAATAATCAAAGAAAACCGTAAAACACTCTTGCTTTTTTTCATGTGACAAAGTAGCGAACGATCTGGCGGTTGACCTGATGTTTAGTGATAACACCATTAACGACATTTACAACACCCGCAAGGTTGCGGAGGCGTTGCCACCTTTAAATAAAGTGGACCCCGGCTGCCTCACGCCGGTCTTCCGTGTGGTCGTGGTACTTACCCGGACGGACCTGCCCATTCGTGCAACAGTGAACACCATGAAACGTTCGCGCACGTTGCCTGTTCGGCGGTGGTAAACTTGTCAAATTGACCGCGAGAAATCTACTTCAGGTCGTCCAGATAGTGCAATGCGCGTCACGCCACCGTTTCGTGGTGATCCCATTCGGCGGGGGCACTTCGGTCTCGGGGTCAGTGACTTGCCCGGCGGATGAAGACAGACCTATCGTGGCGCTCGACACCAGCGACATGAACTCCATACTGTGGATCGATAAGGAGCAGCTTCTGGCTAGGGTGCAGGTAAGCGTGTCGCATCCTTTGGTACAGTACTGCCCCTATCATTGGTAGCGTCTTGACATTCAATAAGTAAGTGTAATGCTTCTATATTGAATAGAGGTATTAGATTTGATTTGATTTGGTACATCTTTTTCGTGGAGAAGAGATCTCTAAAAGGTACCCTCTCATTGGAATGGGAGTAGACTGTTGGAAGATTATCACTTGCGGAACGCGACACGCGGTTCATTCCTGAATCGTAATCGTTTAAAAGCCTTCATTTATCTAAGCAACTGTTTAGCTCTTTTCCGTATGTTAGTGTCAGGCCAAAGAGTCAAGGCTCTTCTGCTGTACCATTAATTTCAAGGTTTTCTTTGAAATATAGAAATGTCTTAAGTTGGCAAGCGAGCAGGTTCACTTGATGTTAAGTGATTAACGCCGCCCATGAACGTCTTCAACACCTGACGGGTTGTAGATGCGTTGCCAATCATTAAAAAGTGAGCTCAGTTATGCTCGCTCCCCAGACGAAACGCGAAAGTATAATTCTTCCATTTCATGCGTGCATGAATGGTCAGGTCCGGACGGGTAAGTACCACGACCTCACAGAAAACCGAAGTAAAGTAGAAGTGTTAAAACTTCTGCGTTTCGTCTGGTGAGTGAGGTACCTGGAATCCACTTTATTTAAAGGTGGCAACGCGTTTGCAACCCTAAGGGAGTTGCAAATGTCCATGGGCGAAGGTCGTCACTTAACATCAGGTGAACTGCCAGCTCGTTTGCCACTTTCTCACATAAAAAGGCCTGCCCATTCGTGCAACAACAGCAGGTGCTTCTTGTTCCTACCACAATAAAATATTCTAAAAAATTTATCAAACGCCACCTCCATTCGACTTTTTCCTGTCAAGCAGATATTACGAGGAACGTAGCATTCCATAGACTATATTATATTTTATGTTATTTTGCACGGAGATTAAAGAGGAAGCAATGTCGCTTTAATATCAATTTCAACAGCAACTACTATGAATACTCGACGAGTAGGACTCTCCATTACCATACCAGTATTTTACTCAAGAGTTGAACGAATATAGCACGTGATTACAGCGATTCAACGTCACCCACAAATGTCGCGTTCTCATCGCTTCGCACGTCCCCGCGTGTCAATATTTTCCGATGTTCCCCGTTGGTCAATATTGATTTTCATAAACACCACACGCGCTAACAGACAATTACGATTTCTAGAGACATAATCGGGCAAACATTACAGTAAGTCGCCCTTCGCAATAATCGACGTGTTTTTTTTTTCTACATATTTGACAGTCATTTACACGTTCTATGTTCATGAATTGGTAGTTGAGTAGGGCCGTAGTAGTTCAGCGTGCTGACATCCGGACCGAGTTCAGTTGCCGATGTTCGCCAATGACATTATTGGTTACTAATTCCTCGTGCGGGAACATAATTGGCGTAAACATTAAAATAAAATACGAATATTCAAACCCAGTAAAATACAAAACTATGGCATTTTATTACTTGGACTACATCATCAAATATGTCATCAAACACGTTATATTAATAACACAATATTTAAAGAAAACCAAATGAAACGCCCGCATTCCTACATATATCTGTATACGCCCTGCATGAGCCAAATTGGCAAACAAGGAAGCCCGGAATCTTAGCCCCTCATCAACTTTTTTTGGTTTGGAAAGGCTATCTGGCTTCGAAGGGAAGATTTTAATACATCTTATAGGTCGCAGTGGTCGCTGGGAATTGCTACCCGACCAAATCCACACAAATCATAATCATCATCCGCCCTGGGTCCAGGCAGGGATCGTGGGCCAGGACCTGGAGCGGGAGATGCGCTCGCGCGGCTTCACGGTCGGCCACGAGCCGGACTCGTACGAGTTCTCCACCCTGGGCGGCTGGGTGGCCACCAGGGCCAGCGGCATGAAGAAGAACACGTACGGCAACATCGAGGAGCTGGTCGTGCACACCAAGGTGAGTTTGATACTGACAAGGTCGAGTGCAGGCCCTGCCGCTCTGGATTTCGTGGGTCCGTTACCGCGACACGCCAGCAGCACAGCCATTTGAATTTGGGCGTAGGTCTGTTACCACCAGTAATGTCGCTGCCATCGAGTAATACTCATTGCGACAAAGATGGCGTATGTCTGAAACGAAACACCGCTGCCATCGAGCAATATCTGTGGCAAAGATGTGGAATCAAGTACCCGTTAAGCATTCACAACTCGCAAATAACTCTTGCTCTCCGTAAATGTGAACCAACATACGTAGTACATTGGACGTTATAGGATTCGAAATATGTGGCATTCCACGTGCAGCGGTCGGGTAAAAAATCTTGACGCTTCAGATTTTATTAATAATTTTTTATGTTACATCTATGTATATAATTATGTCCCCAATCCAGTTAATGCAAATCAAGTTTCCATCATGTTTAAATTTGAGTTTCACGAAGTCGAACCGTCTCAATTATTTTTTAAAGCAGTTCATAGTGTGTTGCCGAGTTTCATAAGAGAGAGGAATAGTTTAGGAGCTAGATTAATTAGTGTTGATGGCCCTGTGCCCGGACTGCGTCTTCCGCCAGCTAACGCGACATTACAAAAACCACCATCAGAATGTTTTGTTTACGTAATTGTGTACAATAAATCATTGGGTCGCACTTGAAATTACCGCAGACGGTGACCCCCACCGGCGTGATGGAGAAAAGCTGCCGCGTGCCCCGTATCTCGTGCGGCCCCGACTGGGAGCACGTGGTCATGGGCTCAGAGGGCTGTCTGGGCGTCGTCACCGAGGTGTGTGTTTAAGTTATATTTTTGATTTAAGGCCCATTTACACGGTGCCAGTTTCTTGCCTGTTGTATACAATTAAATTGAAGCAATAAATAAGTTGCATGGTCTAAACAACAAATGGTCTAACCAATTTATTGCGCGCAATTTATTGCATTCAATTATTCCTCTTGCATGTACAAGAAAATGGCATCGTGTAAATGGGCCTTTACTCTCGATTTTTACGATGCGTCACACCTAGAAGCGGTGAGAAGGTGGGCGAGAGGGTCTTTTTTTAAGTTATATTTTTGATTTACTCTCGATTTTTACGATGCTTGACACCTAGAAGCGCCAGAATTCATGGTGTTACCATGGCGACCAATAACAACTTTTTGACGTTTACGTATAATTCCAAGTTTAAACTCATTAAACTTTCTTTTTTTAATTATCCAATATTTACAGAATTGAATCTGTCTAAAATTACATATTATCTAATAAAACTATCCACGCAGTGCCAAGAACGCTAGCTGCATTTCCTCGCTGAATAGTTATAACTATGATTGACCTTCGAGCGAGAAAAGAACCAGCTCTCTTGTCACTTAATTAAACCGTCATCTAATGCGTTGAATGTATTTTATTACACACACAAATATTACTGATACACGGGATAAAATTTTTATTATTTTTCTATTGATACGCTAAAGAATTAGTATAACATCTTACGAGCGTACATAAGTTACACTAATTCTACTATTAAATACACACGGTGTTTTTATAAGAGACTGCCTTAGTCTTCACTGCTATCCAGCGTGATGGTAAGTAGAGATGCAACCGTAGATGGTAAACGAATTAGCTTAGTGAAAGCTTATTCATGATATTTACGGGGATTAAATATTTAAAGAGGACATTTAAAGTAACAGCCTGTACATGTCCCACAGCTTGATGACATGTACATAACCCCACTGCGGATTGGTGGACTTCACATGGTTACCTTCGAAATTTGTTTTTGTTATTATTTCGAAAATATGCAGGTTTTTCGTCGTTATTGTTTTGTGTTTCGTTCACCACTCAGCACGTGATAAGTCAGCAAGTAAAATTAACAATTTCATTCGTGCTAACACCGGGGACCGAACTCAGCTTGCTCGAGTATATTAATATTTACCATGATCACTGGCGTGGCTACTAATTCTAAACTCGCTAGATAATAAAAAAATATTCCGGGACATTTTTACACAACGTTATCTAGTCCCAATCTAAGCAAAGCTTATACTATGGGTACTAGATTACTGATAAACATACTTAAACATATTTATTTTGTAAATAAATACATATTATAGATATATAAACACCCAGACGCTAGAAAAACACTATGTTCATCACACAATATTTTCCAATAGTAGGGATCGAACCCACACCCTCTGGCGCAGGAGACACGGTCACTATCAACTACGCCAAGTAACCTTTACTGAACCAGCGCCATTCTGGCGGGTTTTTGAACTGTTATTAACTACTTACAAACATTTTTGTACTCATAACTGTAGAGAGAGTGTACCCTACAGTTTCTTTTATATGGATGCACTCGCAACAGTATTTCATCACGCTTTACTCCCCATATTTCAGGTGACCCTGAAGATCCGCCCGCTGCCTGAGGTGGTGCGCTACGGCTCTCTGGTGTTCCCCGACTGGGAGGCTGGGTTCGAATTTGAGCGGGAGGTAGCCAGGCTCCGTCTACAGCCATCTAGCATAAGGCTAATGGACAACGAACAGGTAAGGTGCCTTTGCATTGTTTTAAACACATTACACTATTAAGTGTGATTCACTCCCGTCTCTATGCCCCATTCGGACTTATATCTGAATTAAAATATTAAATTAAAAAAACACGTAATTGTTAGTATTCATCATCATCAGCATTTCAGCCTGTTTGAGTCCACTGCTGAACATAGGCCTCCCCCATAGACTGCCATGAAGTACGATCCTGAGCCACCTGCATCCATCGACTTCCCGCACATGTACTTGTTAGTATTAATATAAAATAAATCTTTAATGTTTTCTGTCTTAAAACGTGTATATTACATTCAGTACTTTCTATCTTATATAGTCTGTTACTATCGCATATAAACATAGCACGGGGAGTGCTCTTTTGTTCAGCCTCACCCACATTCATCTCAAAAGTGTCCGCCGGACGATAGCCCGTGAATATTCTGAGGCACTGTCTCTCCATCTCGCCTCCCTCCAAAAAAACGAGTGAGAGAGACGATGCCGTCTACCATCCCGTCTCGAATCTCAAACCTTCTGCGGCGCAGTTCCGCTTCGGCCGCGCCCTGAAGACGGAGACCTCGTGGGGTGGGGTGCTGCTCGACGGCCTGAAGAGGTTCTACGTGACGCGCATCAGGGGCTTCGATGCGGAGCGCCTCTGCGTTGTGACGCTGCTGCTAGAGGGCGGAGGGGGGGAGGTGGCGGCGCACGAGCGGCGGCTGAACGCGGTGGCGGCCAAGTACGGGGGGGTCCCCGGCGGCGCGGCGAACGGCGAGGTGGGCTACACGCTCACCTTCGTCATCGCTTACATACGGGTGAGTACGCTGCCGACGCGGTGCTAGGCCTCGGAGTGTTTGGGAGTTGGTGGAAGGCCTCGGGGTACTTAAGAGGTAGTGAAAGGGCTCGGGGTACGTAGGAGCTAGGGAAGGGGCTGGGATACGTAGGAGCTAGTGGAAGGGCTCGGGGTATGAAAGAGCTAGTGAAAGGGCTCGGGATACGTAGGAGCTAAGGGAAGGGCTCCAGGCTAGTAAGAGCTAGGGAAAGGTCTCGGGGCCGTAGGAGCTAGTGAAAGGGCTCAGGGCACGTAGGAGCTAGTGAAAGGCCTTGGAGCTCATAGGACCTAGTGAAAAACCTTGGTAACAAACGCTTGAGAGGCTTTGCTGTCACTGCCTACGGTGGCGTGTCGTGAGTAATTACAATATCTTGATGCCGCTTGACACAGTTAATGTACGTGGCAACAATACCGTATGTCAAGAGCTTAATACATTTTATGTCCAATGTAACGTGAATAAAGCAAGTGATATGTTTCATAAATAAAAGATGCTATTGGGTTATTTTTCAATAATTTTATTCAATTATGATATTTCAATAAATATGATATAAATATAAGCCATTATATTATCGATGATAGTATTATGTTTTCTGAAATAATGTAAAAGAGCATAGGTACACTTATGAATGGCTACGGCTTATTTCCGGTATTCATAGTTCGAACATTATGCTCTGTTCGCGATCAGACTATTGCCTCTTACACGCGACCCCGCAGCGTCCCGGCAAGGGAGCGTCTAGAACCCTTATTATATATATAGCCACGAACCCCGCCCGAACCCAGGACCTGGCGCTGGAGTACGACATCGTGGCGGAGTCGTTCGAGACGTCGGTGCCGTGGGGGCGCACCCTGGCCCTCTGCCGGCGCACCAAGCAGCGGGTGCGCGACGAGTGCGCGCGCAGGGGCATCACCCACTTCCTCATCTCCTGCCGCCTCACGCAGACGTGAGTGTCACCCCCCGTCACCCCCCCGTCACCCCCCCGTCACCCCCCCCGTCACCCCCCGTCACCCCCGTCACCCGCGATGAAACACCCGGAAGCGCGGAACGTCCATTCGTTCAGAAGCGACGTGGAAGTTATGTCGCCCGCTGGCACACGCGACGACGCAACCGGAAGCGCGGAACACGTTCGTTCATTCGTTCAGACGCGACACTAATATGGAACGGTGATGAAAAATCACGTTCAAATTTCGACTAGTGACGGTAAACGGGGTAAATACTGCTTACATGGTGTTGTGTGAATGAATTAATGTCTTTATTGGTGAATATGGTGTTACATTGTGTTTATAGTTATCATAATTTGATGCAACATATATCCATTAAAACATTAATACAACCAATTATTTCCATACAAACATTAAAATTATTATTCGGATATTACATATTGCGTAAAATTATTAACCGTCAGTATTATACAACAAATAGTCATTGATATTATAAATCATTATGTTTAAGAGCCATCTCGTTATTTGTGAAGATGTTTGCGAATGGGTTTCGACATGGCCTCTTAACGCGCTGCGATCGAGGGATACCTGGTGTACAGCATTGGCGATAGATGACTCCGTGGCGCAGTTGCCAAGTTATTGGCTTCGGCGTCGGGGGTCGTGGGTTCGATTCCCACACGGGACAACTATTTGTGTGACCCACAGATAGTTGTTTCGCATCTGGGTGTTTGTCCGCGTGAAATTTATGTTTATAAAACGTCCTTTACAACACAGGATAATATTATCCTAAAGTAAAGCAGTGTTTTTTTTTTAAATAAATAATAAAAAAAAATAATAAAATAATAATAGTTGCGCGACTTACATCCACGCCAATTATTCACAAATAACCTTTGAAAACATAAACGAAACCTTTTATGAAATCGTGTACATTACATGTTATAAGATTTAAAAAAAATCACGTGTTAATCCCTCGAGAGCATCTAGAATTTGGAGTCACTTCCCACAATCGAAAGAGTGGGAATTCCTTGTGAGTTGTTGCAGGACCTGTATGTCAGACCGTACATAAAATAATTCGAAACAGTGGCGTGTCGTATCAGCGCGTTCACACCCCACTCTTACAACAATATTCGTGTTACCTTTGCTTAACTGTCGTAGTCATCGATTATCATAACTGTGGTAGGGAATGGGGTCGTCGAACGTCCGGGTAGTTACCACGACCTCACAGTGTTTCGTTTGGTGAGTGAGGCAGCCGGGGCCCATTTTAATTAAAGGTGGCAACGCATTTGCAACACTCATAGGGTTGCAAATGCGTTGCCACCTTGCGTTGTAAATGCATTGCAAATGCGGGCGACGGTTATTACTTAACATCAGGTGAACCGCCAGCTCGTTTGCCAAGTTTTCACATAAAAAAATCACGCTCGTTCGTTCATTCGTTCATTCGCTACCTTCGCAGGTACGACGCGGGCTGCTGTATATACTTCTACTTCGGGTTCAACACGTCGAGTTGCGAGGACGCGGTTCGCGTGTACGAGGAGATCGAGCACGCGGCCCGCGAGGAGATCCTCGCGAGCGGAGGTCGGTCGGCTGGCGGGACCTTTTGGGTCTCTTAGGGACCTCCCGGGACTCTTATAGACCTCCAGGGTCTCTTAGGGACCTCCAGGGTCTCTTAGGGACCTCCCGGGTCTCTTAGGGACCTCCAGGGTCTCTTAAGGACCTCCCGGGTCTCTTAGGGACCTCCAGGGTCTCTTAGGGACCTCCAGGGTCTCTTAGGGACCTCCCGAGTCTCTTAGGGACCTCCAGGGTCTCTTAGGGACCTCCAGGGTCTCTTAGGGACCTCCAGGGTCTCTTAGGGACCTCCAGGGTCTCTTAGGGATCTTCCGGGTCACTCTCAGGGGCCTCCAGGGTCACTCATAGCACCTCTTTTAGGAAGCACTATCGCCTTACGAAAGACTAATGTGAAGTAACAGAATTATCCCCAATTGGGGTAACCATGGACTGCTATTTTAAAGGTTGGCTATCTGCAATCCAAGTGTTGTTGACCTTATCGACCGTATATCGACCTGTCTAGCGTGCAATGATTAAATATGCAGCAATAATATATTTATCTAAATGTTTGTGATAGTTCGTTGTCCAGTTGCTCGCTTTTAATTCAATATACTCGAGCAACCGCGAGTTCGATCCCCGGTGCCGGCCCCAATTAAATTGTCAATTTTAAGTGCTGATTTATCTCATGCCCAGCGGTGTAGGAAAACATCGCGAGGAAACCTGCATATTTTCGAAAAAATAACAAAAAAAATATTTCGGAGACGTGTGAAGTCCGCTAATCCGCCGTGTGGTCTCGTGGTGGACTACACCCTGATACCCTCTGTACAGAGGAGGCCTTTGCTCAGCAATGGGACATGTAAAAGCTGTTACTTTACATATACATTAAGATGTATATTAAATATTATTCCAATTTGCAGGTTCGATATCTCACCACCACGGAGTCGGCAAATTGCGCAAAGAATGGTACGAGCAGACGGTGAGCGAGCCAGGCCGGCGTCTGCTACTTGCCGCCAAAAAGGCTCTTGACCCGGACAACATATTCGCCCTGGGCAACATGGCGTTCGGCGAGTACACGCCCGACGAGACATTGAAAAGCAAATTATAAAAGCCACAAGAATCCTTTTTGTGATTATTTTCTAACTAAATTACGAAAACATTTAAGTATTGGCGGAAAATGTATCGTATATGTCTATTTGATGAGAATGCTGACAGATGATAAATTTGCATTTACTTACCTATGATCGTTAATTTAAAAAAAATATATTTATGTCGTATTACCGTAAAATTAATTATTATCCATATGATTATTTACAATAAAACACGCAATTTTACTATCGATTGAACCATATAGAAAATGAAATGCTGTTGTACCATCTTGATTTGAAAATGTTTTCCATGCTCAAAATACGTATCTTTAACAATTTTCGTGGCCATCTTTTAACGGTTAGAAGTTTATAGAGAGCAGCGCCATCTAGTGAGGACTAGAAACAAAAGAAAAGATCTTCACGAAAAACTAAATAACCGGATACACATGCCAATTTTCATGGTAGGAAATCAGTCAACCAGTGTCGGAGTTTAGCGAATACATATTATTTATATGTATATGTACATCCACTTTATATATGCAGATATATTAACGTAAATAGAATACCGAAGAATTAACACTACATAGTAAGAGCATTATTTAAACAGTAAAACGCATTACAGAAAATTAAATAGCATTATGAATTTAGTTTAAAATGTCTACAATGGGCCCGTTTAGTTAATATTATTTTTGTTATTACGGCAAGTGCTACATATTCATTTAACTGAACTAATTTCGGTATGACGTATAACCTGTATTTTTCGGTTTAAGATAAATTAATAGTGAGCATATAGTTGTATTTGGGTCGGGCTTTAGTAAGATAAGTATTTATATTATTAAGCGTGTGAACGTGTGTTTGTTTGCTATGCAAAAGTTGATCATTTTCTAATTTGCGACCAACGTTTAAATTTTACAATATATTGTGTATCCTTTTATATAGGTAACTACATATTTTAGAATTGCACAATATAATATTGTTTAAGCACAATAATTATCTTGGTAGAACCGGTTCCTTCGTAATAGTTTTCGGTTAATGTTAAAATGTTTATTTCATTTTTTATCTGCATGAAGCTATGTAAGAGAGTAAGAAATGATTTTAGTTTTAAGATAATATCTAGCAACCAGTGCCTTTCAGTATTATACAGAAAATTAGATTACAGATTTATTCCAACATTTTTAAATTTTGCATCATTATTTATTCTTTAGCTTTTCATTCCTGTATTTTCCTAGCCAGTGTTATAATTTATTTATTTTCGTTATAGAAAAAGTTTATATAATAGTGTGAAAATATGTCGGAACTCTTACTTCTCTTACTCTTTACTCTCCTTAGGTCTTAGCAATTATTGATTTAACTACTCTTTTATTATTATTCTCTAATCACCCTTAAACTTGTCGTTATCTAAACGAATTGCTCAATATTATAAAATAAATAAAATTACCACAGAACTAAGTCATTAACCGTATAGTTTAGTATACGACAAGTTGTTTTTGCACTATTTAGTAAACGCAGTTTAATTACGCACCAAACATTCCTAATTCTTCAATTAAAATTATAATTAAGTTAGTTATAAACAAAAGGTGTTCGTGAAAATAATTTTTAAGATAGTCAATAATTAATGTGCCTAAAAATAAAACATTGAAGTTTGGGTAATTGTAGTTTTATTATATTAAGTAAACAAATCAAATGTAACTTTTGGAATGAGCCTAAATCACGTTTTGAATAACAAAAAATAGTTTTTCAAGCAGCGTTCTTTTGTATTGCAGTGACGTCGAGATCTTTGGTACGGTACCTAGCATATTTGAATAAAGCTTTTAAGATAGGGGAAGTGAACCCATACTTGAATATAGTAAGACGGTATTACTAATACCTATTATTGCATTAAAAAACATTATAATATTAATTATCATGTAAAGATCCACGGTCTTGAACAAAATCACTCATAAATGGTCAATAACCATCAGTCGTAATACATTTGAAATAACTAACGAGTCCGCACCAATGCATTTGTTTCAAAATTATTTGTAGCAATTTGTATAGATCATTAAACCTTGTTAATTCATTTATTATATTTTTATTATCGTCTAAATATATAGAAACTCATTTATATTTTACTTTTGTTCTATATCGCATTCATTCGTTTAACATGGTAAATATTTAAAAGAAAATTGCACTGATTTCCTGTCAAATAATTCTTAATATACGCGGGTAAAAGCGGATATAATAAGTACCTAGATCCAGCGAGTGTAACTGCTAACGTGTTTGTAGCTTTTATTTAAAAACTTCCTAAGTTTTGACTATTGTAATGAGAATAAAATAAACTAAAATGATAGATTTATTAATGCCATTTCGTTCTTTTTTACAATGCAAGCGTGTTTGTACCGATAACAATGTTTTTCGAATGCATTATAAAGTTACGGTGATTATGTTGCTTATGTTCACCCTAATAGTGACTTCTAAGCAGTTTTTTGGTGAACCTATTCATTGCATTTGTGGATCGGATAAAGACTGTGATAAAGAAGCGATCAATAATTATTGCTGGATTTACGGAACGTACACTTTAAAAAGTCTTTTAGTGGGTAAGCAACTTTGGTACCTATTAATAATAATTACGAATTATACATACCTAGACCTAAGTTTTGGTTAGAAAAAAAAATTTCGTTAATTTTATTTTCACGAAGACACCCAAAGCTCTCAACTGCAGCCAAAATCAAATTACTATCAGATCGGATCAAATTACTATCAGCGAACGTGATTCAATCAATCACTACATAGTATAAAATAAAGTCGTTAGTCGTATGTTTAGTTTTATTATATTGGTCTAAAAATTCAAAAGTTTGCACTTTACAAAGTATACTATAAAACTGTTAAAAATGTAATTAGTTAAAAAAAAGTTAATAACATGTCACTCAACAGGTGTAGAAGGGAAGCACATGGCATATCCAGGTGTTGGTCCGAGCATAAAAGAAAATGATGAACAAATCAAGCAATCATACTATCAATGGGTATGCTTTGTGCTCCTGGGTCAGGCCGTTATGTTCTACATTCCGCACTATCTTTGGAAATCATGGGAAGGAGGAAGGCTAAGGGATCTGACTGCAGACTTGGGTACAATTTTTTTTTAAAGTTCTACTGTTGGCTTTAAATTTGCTTAGTATTTGGTTAATTGTAAGAAATGTTACTGTCAGACAAGCCATCCAAATCTAAAGTCTAAAACTACTAAGATTAAAATATTTTAAGATTGCTGCTACACTAAGGCAACTAATTTTGAAAAATTTAATATTGCTGTTAGTGACAATAGTTTTGGAAATATAAACTTTGTTATATTTTCCAGCAAGTCCCATTGTGGCAAAGGATTGGTCTAAGCAGCGGCGAGGTCAGTTATTGGCTTATTTCAATGACCTCAATGCCTACACTCACAACATGTATGCTCTGCATTATGCCTTTTGCGAAGTACTTAATCTTGCAAATGTGGTAAGATTCAATATATATTTTCCCTTACAGCAGTCATTAAAAGTGACTATTATTTATAACATTAAAAATAAATTCAATTATGGTAAATATACTATATTGAATATTTGTAAAATTTTTGGTATCTAGTTTGTATTCTACTTTAAAACTAATCAAGTATAGAAAAAAATATATGTATGTAATTTTTAGGATTATAAGATATCGGGAACAGCCATTATTCTAATTTTTTGTTACACTTCAATAAATGTAATCAGTGTTTGAGATATTTTTGCAGATTGGCCAGATATTCTTAATGGACCTGTTCTTGGGTGGAACATTCCGCAACTATGGCACTGCTGTGGCAGCTTTTACACATGTACCTCGCCTGCCCAATGACATGATAGATTTTGCTTCTGTCAATCCAATGGATCAGTACTTTCCAAAGCTAACTAAATGCTGGTTTAGATCATATGGTCCTTCAGGAACAATGCAACTTAAAGATCGGCTATGTGTGTTGCCATTAAATGTGATTAATGAGAAGATTTTTATAATACTCTGGTTTTGGCTGATGATTTTGGCCTTTTTGTCGACAGTTGCTATTTTGTTTCGTTTATTAGTATTTTGTCTGCCACCATTACGCACTATTATGATCATGGGTCGTTTAAGACATGTTAGGAGAAGAGCAGTTTCAAGAATTGTCAAACATTTTACTTTTGGCGACTGGTTCGTTTTATACTTGCTGAGTAAGAATATAAATCAGATTGTTTATAAAGACTTGATAATTGATCTGTCAAAAGATTTGGAGCACAATCCAGTAACTGTTTAGTCTTTCTTGTTAGTACGTAAGTAAAATTAGGTGGTATTAGAATGTCATGAATAACTAACTCTTATTATAAAGTCAATACTACTTAAGTATAACCTGTGACTGATTTAAAATACTAACTTTGTAAGAATACATTAGTCACTTAGATTGCAGGCATAATGTTTCGGATATCAAAAATATAGTGGTTTTATTACTATCAAACTTAAGCGATATTGAGGCTACAAGTAATATGTTAGAATGTGTTTCAGTGTGCAGAAAGTTCCTGCAATTTTTTTGAAGAAAAAAACAATATTTTCACAAATAATAAAATAATACCAAATCATAATTTTGTGTTAAACCCAAAAAAATTATCTTTTTATTTGGATCTGATTACAAGAAAAATTGTTATGTTAAAAAACTTTTGTTATGTTAGAAACAACATTTAATTTAGTTGTAATGTTTCAATATACCTTTATATTGTTTCCATTACACTGTCAGTTCAAAGTTTAATTTAGCATAAAATTCATAAGTATGTTTTGTTTTTGTTTTCTTTTCTTTGAGTTTAAATAAATTCTATTAAAGTTTATATGACTGTCTCACTACTTTTCCTTTTTCATGAATACAAAATTGAATAAACACTTCTCATTAACAACATTTGGTATAATTTCTGTAATTAATTTATTTGCTCTTAATGTCCATTTTCTTGTTGTCCATACAGAGTTATGTATAAAAACAATGTCCTTTTAATCACTTTATATTAACCACCTATCAATATTGTTTACATAAAAATTCCAGCGTGGAGTTTATCTCCTGACTTACAGGCATATTTTCATCTCATACTATCCAGAACATCCTCTGCAGCCACAGTGCACACATTCTACTATTCTTCCTTCCTCCAACTTGCTCTTAGGAACCCTACAGATACAATTTGTTGCAAAGTTTGTGTCTCTTGTTTGTATACAACGTAAACAGCATAGATTCTCATAGCCTGTCTTCTTCCATTTAGCAATCAAATTGGCATCTGCTATCTTTTCATCAAGGCAATACTGATAGAGTTCCCTGCTGATGGCCTTCCGCCTATAAAAAAGGTCATATATGTATCTCGACTTTTGGTGGTGTATTTTAAATATTGGCCATAAAGATTCCTGTTTCCTTTTTCCTTCATGTGGTTCTGTCTCAGCTGAAGAGTAAAGCAGAGAAATTTGTAATGTAATTGCATTAAATAGCAGAGGTAAGAACATAATATATCAGTGTTAAAGTAGGTATATAACAGTTGATAATTGAAGTATTAATTTTTTTTTATATGAGAAGGTTGCAAAACAAGCTGGCGGTTCACCAGGTGTAGTCATAACCGCCGCCCATGAACATTTACAACACCAATAAGGTTACAGATGTGTTTGCCACCTTTAAATAGTGGTTCGGGCTACCTCATGCATGGCCCTAGCACAGTTATAAATACATATCTTTTATAATGTTGCCTTTATATGACAGCTAAATTGTATAAGTGCAACCTTAACCACCAACGGTCCTCAAGAGTTTGATATATATAGGAATTTTATATTTAAACAATTATAATATAGCCTAAAATGAGCTAGTAAGTAAAACAAAAAATATGCATGCCTTACACTACAATTGAAATTATAAAAGGATTAATATGTGCTAACCTTCTCGCATTTTCTGTTCTAATTCTTCAAGGGTAGGCTCTATTAATTCCCAACCCTCTGGTGGCGATTTACGACTGCGACGGACTTTCGGCATTTCTACTTAATTCACCGCTATTGTCTTCAAATATCAAACAGTAAACTAACCTATTATGCCTATTATGTTTTAACAAAAGCCAAAATAGTAGCAAGTCTGTTTTATAATTTCTTAGCAAAAATGTTTACACGAAAGTAACAGCATTACAGTAATATTTTTCACTGTACAGATAATACATATTATATTTTCGCTACTTGACAGTGACACAAGAACAAGACAGTGTTGCTAACTAATTTAAAAAAATGGCCCTAAAATACAATTTTCAAAAGCATTAGTAGGACCACGCAGCAGCCTCGGCTGTTGTACGAATGGGCAGGCTCGTCCGGGTAAGTACCACGACCTCACAGAAGACCGGCGTAAAGTGGAAATATAATACTTTCGCGATTCGTCTGGTGAGTGAGGAAGCTGGAGCCCAGTTTCAAAAAGTTGTCAACGCATCTGCAAACCCTCGGGTGTAGCAGATGTCCATGGGCGGTGGTATTCACTTTACATCAGGCGAAAGACCTGCTCACTTGGCAACTTTTAACATAAAAAAAGCCCCAAAAAATCCTTGTATTGTAATCAAAGTTTTGGTTTAAATGAGTTTCAAATTATGTTAAGGTAAATAAACATAACTTAATTTTAATTACTTTTCATTACTAATAGTTGAAATAACTAATTAAACTATATAACATTAACTAAAATTTCGTTTATTACATTTATTAATAGACATTTTGCTTTTATTTCTCATTTTCGCTAGGCAAAATAGTGATGTATGTTCTTATTCATGGCCCTTAACTTTTTTGGACCCTATAAAAGCATAATATGTACATTTGCGCATATAATTTGGGGCTAAAGGCCCTAAGTTGTCAAGCCTTACTTTTTCTACTAATTTTAATGCTTAATCTTTAGTGCAGAGATTAGCACAATAAAAAAATTTCTAAAATAGCAATGGCGACATCTCTCGTTCGGATTGTCATTGTAAAACGATATTCGAAATTGTTTGTATGCTGGAAAGGATATAACAATGGATGCGCCAAGCATTGCTTCAAATGCTAAAAAACAATATAAATAAAAGACGTCAAGATTTTCGTCGCTGTGGCTATCAGCCGTTTAGCTCAGTGGTTAAAGCGCCAGGCTGCGAATGCCGAAGACGTGGGTTCGATTCCTACAGCGGCGTCAATCTTTTCGTACTTTTACAAATTATTGCGTCTTAAGGGGCACACGTGTTCAATACGTTGCAGACAACGCTGATATTAATGATAATACGCCAGACGCTCATAATACGCTCCACATAATGGGTATTTTTCAAATTATTACTCCAAAAGATTCCGTTTTCATAGAAGAACCTATGCCACGAGCAAAAGAAGCTTTTTCAGCAAAAGAATTCCAGGCAAAAGCTCATGTGCCGATAAAGATCTATCAAAATGATGGTGTCGTATATTACAGTAAAATAAATGTCCAAGATTTTTCTTGTGGGATTGAAACAGTATCTTTCCTCAAAAAAACTTACGTATTATAGTTATTGGACGACACAACTCTTTCAACTTTTCGAATCGGTATATCTAAAAAACGGTGGCTCTTAGGAAAAAAGTATTGAGACATTTTTTATAGATAACTAGTTGACCCGGCAAACATTGTTTTGCCATATAAATTATTTATAGGGTAGAAAAAATGTTTGAGCCTTAACATTTAAGGGAATGAAAAATAGATGTTGTCCGATTCTCCACCCTGGCCGATTTGCACATAAAATTTCACGAAAATCGGTCGGTTTCGGAGGAGTTCAATTACAAACACCGCGACCCGAGAATTTTATATATTAGATTATCTACAATTAGATATTTGAATTAGATAATCTACAATTTTTGTCTGAGCTAATTTTATATAACCCGTATTTGAGACCTTTGACCCCGAGTAATTTTTTTGTACGTGCTGGATCGATGAGGACTTTTCACATTTCCTTTATAATAGTGTAATGAACGATCCTACCAATTTTAAGCCTAATGGCCTACCAATTTTTGTAACCTCACCACTATTTTTTGTCTAATTTGACCGGACATGTAACGTAATGTGTCAAATTCGGCAATGTCGGCCTTTCGAGCCCCCGCTGACGTTACACCGGACCCAGGCCCCGTGTGGTACTGACGGTACTGGTTGCAAAAAGAGGCCATTAGAGTTTTAATGATCAATATATAATAATATATAATCAACATTTAATGTAGTTATAACGTAAAAAGTAATTGGCACTAATTAATAGAAAGAAGCAAGTACTCTCCAAAAAGTGTATAATGTAGTTTTAAATTGATTATCCAATAAATTAGGTGGTGTATTTTCTGATGATGTTGCTTAATAGGTGCTTCAGCTTTCTCTTTGCATAATGATAATCTTTCGGCACGAGGCATATTCTTCGTTGAGATTTGTAGATTTTTTTATAAAAAAGATACTAAATAATTTTTATCTTTGTTATTTTGCTAAGTTATTCGCTTATATTAAGTTCTTATTAACAATGCAAAGATTACAATAAATAGTTAGAATAATAATCATCGACTTGGAAATGATTGATTTTGTGTATTATTGTATTCCTTTGTCATCGTAATTTCTAAATTATTTGCAATATAATAGTTAAAACAATTATTTTGCAATTAACCATTAATTTAAAAGCTGTGATACATTGAAATAAAACATACATATGAATTTAAAAATGCATTCTTCGCAAAATATATATATATACATACCTATTTAAAATGCATTCTCAGCCAGTCTGTAACTTAGCTCCTGATTGTGATTTGTATTTCATAGGGATTTCAGAAAAAAGAATTGTTGAAAAATTGCAGTTAAACTACTGTAAATTAGTTAAAATCTATAATACAATTTATAGTGTTAATACTATAATAGGCCGTTTATCTTGAATATTTCTTTGTTATCATTTTTAATGACTTTGTTTCAACGTAGGGCGGCTAGGGTTATCGACGATCAAAGTGTTTCCGATCGGCTTGATCCTCTGGCTCTGCGTAGAGATGTTGGATCACTCTGCATCTTCTACCGCATTTATCACGGGGAGTGGTCTGAGGAATTGTTTGGATTGATCCCGGCGGCTGAATTCCACCATCGGACATCGCGCCAGAACCAAAAATTTCATCCACACCACCTCGATGTCCAACGTTCCACAACAGCGCGATTTTTAAGGCATTTCTTGCCTCGCACAACCACTCTGTGGAACCAACTGCCGCCGGCGGTCTTTCCGAACCGTTACGACCTGGGAACCTTCAAAAAGAGAGCGTACTCTTTCTTAAAAGGCCGGCAACGCATTTGTGAGCCCTCGGGTGTTGCAGGTGTTCATGGGCGGCGGTAATTACTTACCATCAGGTGAGCCTCCTGTTCGTTTGCCCCTTTTCTCCATAAAAAAAAAAAAAAAAAAAGCCTCCTCTAACATCTTCCATTGCCTTTTGATCTCTAGTGACCCTTCTTCATTTTGTACCTGCTGTTCATGCTTCCATGTTTACATTATATGTCTCTTCCTTTTACCATCTTCAGGATACCAGTCTGTTATGATTAAAGTTCACTTCGCAGCCCCTCTATCTCTATGCCTTAATACGGTCGCTTTCCTAAAAAAATATCTTTTGGCAACTCAAAAGGCATTTGAAAAGCCATTTGACAGCTGATTAGTTAATTTCTACGATGATCAGTGTCTCAGAAACGGCGTAAGCGTATTAAGTCTAAACAAACTTCTTAATGTAAGAAGTGTACCTTTTGTACAAAACTCAACAGTCTAATTTACATAACACAAATAAGATGTTTACTGTGCATTACAATTCAAATTATTTAAAACAAATTTTACCGCTTGACAATCTGCTATACGATGACCAGAGGGAATCATTAAGTTACTCAATGATTCCGATCATGAGTTACTGCAACATTTGTTAGGTTAATCAGGAACATAGAACGATTTACGATGATTAGGATCGGTATATAATGTTTTATTTTTTTTATGTGAGAAGGTTGCAAGCGAGCTGGCGGTTCACCTGATGTTAAATGATAACCGCCACCGCCGCCGGTTGCGTTGCTTCTTTCAAATAAAATGGACCTCCTGTCATAATAAAGGTATTTTTGTGGCAATGCTGTCACATATCTTCAATCTTACCTATTTAAGCCAAATAGACATGTACAACGTGACTTCTCAATTCTTTTAAACACATATGCAGTTCTACGCTACGTTTCGCAGAGCCTATTAAGGTCAAAGCCTGACACGTGGCAAGCCTGTCACGGCATGTGTGCCTTCTATACTATAGGTGTCTCGGAAATGTATTTGATACTCATTGGTCAACGGGATTTGAAGCCGTGACTTCAAATAGTAGCACTATCGCAATCAATGCCACTTTTGTTTTATTATCAGGGTCTAAGTTTATGGAATGTTAACTTTTTTTAAGCCAACAAAGGGTTTATAATCAACATTTAACTATTGAATGCTTAAATAAGGAGGGACATATTAAAAGGAACGGGTATAAGTGATGTTTCTACCCACAGTAGTCTGGGTTTATCTTATATGAAGTAAAGTAACAGACTATCTATTTCCCACTGCTGGCCAAAGGCTTTCTTTATACCGAAGATATTAGGGCATAGTCCACACGACCCCACTACGGAATGGTGGACTTCTTATACGATTTTTTTCTAATATTTCGAAAAGATGCAGATTTCCGCACGGTGTTTTCCTTCACCGCTAAACAAGTTATCACGACTCATCAGTCAGCACTTAAAACTTAACAATTTTATTGGTGCGCCGGCATCAATCCACTCATGCTTACGAAAACTCCGAAGCTGTTATGGTTCAGTTCAATTTCTCATTTGATTAATTAAGTTTCGACACCCACCTCGATTTACTTATCATTTGTAAAGTGGCGCTTATCGCGAATGACGAAGTATGAGGAACCCCTTACACCTTGAGAACAGATCCTCAAGACCTGAAGCTATATTGGAAACGGAAAATAAATAAAACTAGTGTACATTTTGACATACATTCTAGT